GGGATAGGCGGCGCGGGGCAGCGGCAGGGTAGGGGGGTCCGGAAGGCTTCCAGTGCTTTGCCTGGAAGCCGTCCGGATCCACCCTTCCCTGCCCCCGCCGCCGCTGAGAGCCTTCCGAGCTCTCAAAGGGCTTTCTCCAATGTTGGAGGGGAGCCCTTTGAGAGCTCGGAAGGCAAATGTCGGTGGTCAGTGGTGGCTTTGGGGTCCTTCCGAGGCCGCCGCCCACCGCCGACATTTCCCCCCACCTGCTGAGCGGCGGGGCTCCCGCTGAGCTGGGGGAAAATGCCCCTTTTGAAGGGGAATGCAGGCGGTGGCTTCGGAAGGACCCTTCGGAAGGGTCCTTCCGAGGCCACCACCGGCATTTTCCCCCAAAAGCGATCGCAAAATCCACATCAGTATGCGGATTCGTTGTTAACTGGGGCACTCGTTAAGCGAGGCACCACTGTATTTAATTACCAACATTGTTTAGGATGCAATCCTTGAAATCTGAAACTGTTTTACTTTAGCTTTATTTCATTCAGAATGTCTTCATCTTTCAAACGTCAATCAGTAAGTTGTATTATTCATGTATGTATTATTCTCTTCAGATTGCATGTATGTCACAATATTTTGGATCCCTATTTAGTGTAACTTCTAAATAGTTGTCATAGTGTTCTTTTGATAAAATTACATACTTGCTTTTAACAGTATAAGGTGCGAGCCTATATTCAAAAGAAGTCTTTAAAAGCATGCAAGAGAGAGATCAAGTCAGTTATGAATACAGCTGGAAATGTAAGTATGGTAGATTTTGGTTGTTAGTGATACAGAGTTGTACTTCTGAACTCTAAATTTCTCATTTTATCACAACATAATTTGACCACGATATAATAGTATTATCTCATTTTGGGATTTGAGACAAATTAATATTTGCTGTCCTCAGTTCCCTGATTCTGAATTGTTATGCCATTATTTATACTCATTTACTCTATAAGGGTGCTATAGAGTTTGATAATTTAAAATATCTAAACTAACTCTCATGATGGCTTCATTAACTGTTTAGCTTTGCAGACTTTTGGGGACCATAATGTTTCTTCCAGAATTTTAGCTGGGCAATAAAAACAGTACCAACATCCCTCTTCAAAACACATCCTTAAAAAGTACTAGTCCTTGGAATATTTTCCCTTCCTAGCATTACTGTTACTTCCTACTCAGCTTCTTCCCTATAGATCTGATACCTTTTAAAAACAAGGATGTATATATTTTTTGATATTTCTATATACACATTCACCTACATTATGACCCACCTCAACAATCCTTCAAGGCACCGATGTGGATCATAATATGTTGCTTCATGCCCTACATTCTCCAGTGTATTTGCACGCCAGCTGTCTGCTTCAAGGTATCATTAACTTCAGTTTCTGTGCTTTCCACAGTCCGCACCTTCACTCTTTCTGAAAAGCAACTTTGAGTACTTAAGAGGCAACTATCGGAAGGCAGTAAAGCTGTTAAACAGTTCAAACATTGCTGAACATCCAGGATTTATGAAGACAGGTAAAATGAATTTATATGTTTGGTAAAACAGTACTTCATTTGACACTCTAGTTCCTTTTCTTGAATTAGTTTAAAATATTTTGAGCAGACAGATTTCAGAGAGGCTAACACTAAAATAAATTTGTTAATCGTAAAGGTGCCACAGTATTTTTTGTTTTTGTTTTGTTGAGAGGATAAAAATATGTAGACTTACAGGATAGAATAATGAGCACTGAAGTTGGGTGGTTTTAAAATTGGCATACAGTGGTGCCCGCTAGACGCTTACCCCGCTAAATGACGAAATCACTTGATGACTTCTTTGCGATTGCTATAGCGATCGCAAAACGATATTTCCAATGGGTGATTTTCGCTTCACGATGATTTGGTCTGTGCTTCAAGGACCATTTATTCGCAAGATGACGATCTTTACAGCTGATCGTTGGCTCGCAAAATGGCTTCCCGCTGTTTTCTGGACCCATGCTTTGGAAGACAGCGAACGCAAAATGGCTGCCCTATGGAGGATCTTCGCAAGACAATCAGGTATTTTCTCCATTGGAACACATTAACCAGTTTTCAGTGCATTCCAATGGGGATTTTTCCCCACAAGACAATGATTTCGCTGTACAGCGATTTCAGGGGAGCAAATTATCATCGTCATGCAGGTCACCACTGTATTCTTTGTAGATATAGTCATGTTGGTGTGTGAGAAACTGAATGGTCCAAAATGCACTGCACACTGTTAAATACAGTGGTGCCTTGACTTACGACCATGATCCGTTCCAGAAGATGGATGTAACTCGAAATGGTTGTATGTCAAAGCACCATTTTCCATAGGAATGCACTGGAATGGGATTAATCCGTTCCAGCAGAAAAAAAAATCACCAACCCCCCTCCAAAACCCCCACAGCCAGCGCCATCGGAACACAATGGGGCTGAAAAACAAAGCAAACAATACATTGTGATGGGGCTGAAAAACGAAGCAAAAAACCCCCACACACCCCACAGTCAGCCCCATCGGAACACGATGGGGCTGGAAAAGACACACACACAGCACAGAAACATAACCCCCCCCAACCCAAACCCACACTGCAAAACAAAGTGAATGTACTTACTCACAAGCAGAAAGCAGCACCAGGCAGTCCCAAGCTGCCTCCTTTTTTTGGGGCGAAAGAGCTACAAAGAAGCTCTTTGCCGACCAACGGTTAGCAATCTAATTTGAATTCCCTGCCTTTTTTCCCTGCCTCTTTTGATCGCAACTTGAAGCTCCAGCTGCAAGTTGAAGCAAAATTTTGCATCCGGAGCTGGTCGTAACTCGAAATGGTCGTATGTCGGGATGGTCATAAGTTGAGGCACGACTGTAGTCTGTAAAGGCAATTGAGTTTTTGTTTTTAGTTTATGAACCTATGTAATCTTAATTTGGGGCTGAAAACAGAGATCTGAAAATGGACAGAAAGTTTCAGTTGAAGGTTATTGACCAGCCAATGGGAGATGTTTGCACTTAATCAAGGGGAGAGATTTCATAAATGCTGTAAAACTCCATGACTTTGAAATTGTTATTTGCTACTACTTCACCATAAAGAAAAATTGTGAAGAAGTTATTAAATACTACAGACATTCTTCTGATAGTGTTTTTAGCAAAAATACTTCTGGATTTCTATTTTGAAGTTAGGCTTTAACTTTGGCTGTTATGCTACCAGTCGAATTAATTGAATTAAAAGAGCCAAATTGTCATTGATGAGTGGGATAGCTATTAAAAATGGAAATAGCTAGAGTAACTCCTGAAATGTTACAGCCCCTTTCCCTTTCAAGAACTAATTTCATTTCTCTCTTTGATTTTTTTTTTCTTTAGGTGAATGCTTACGGTGCATGTTCTGGAATAATCTTGGATGTATCCATTTTGCCATGGGGAAACACAATTTAGGAATTTTCTATTTTAAAAAGGCCTTGCAGGAAAATGACAATGCCTGTGCACAGCTTGGAACAGGTGGCACAGATCCAGGTGAGGTGGACTAATAACAAATGTACTATCAGAGCAGATTTATGGCCCACAGTTTTTAAGATACATCAATGTCTGTTAGGTATTGAATAGAGATGGTCACACCTGTTTGTGCTGGTTTGTTCTTTGGACAAACAGATGTTTGGCAGTTCCCAGTCCTGCCTCCGGGCGCTGCCTTTCAGTCGGAGTCCACTAGAGGAGGCTGCACAGACACCTGTTCATCCAAAAGACAAACTGATATGAACTGCCAAACCAGTGGCATGTGCCTATCTCTAGTAGTGAATATGCAGATTTTTTAAATAGCTTTTTCCAACTCAGTTTACAATGAAGGTATGGAATAGAAAACACTGTTCTTTGTTTCCAAAGCAATTGTTTGAAGGGGTATATTGATTTCTTCCAGATTAAAAATTCAGAGTAACGCATCTGATATTTAGGTAGCTAAAGTTAGTAAATGAATCTCAAGAACCACTGTTTGTACAATGAACCTACATTCAGTTAATCCCGCATACAGCAGTGTTCGGATAATTTTTTTTAACTAAAAACTGATCACAAGCTGAAGTTTAAAAAAGAAATACATGCCCAGTGTGAAATAAATAGACCATATATAGAGCCTATCCACCTATTTTAGCTGAATTAATTTACAACACCTGTGGTACCATCAAAATCTCAAACATTTGTTAGAGCCATCAGTACCACCTATGAGATAAGTAATTGATCATGTGAATAATATAATTGCATGAACAGTGTAACAGCTGAACTAAGGAGTTGCAGAAGATCATGGGGGCTATTTTTCTGATTAGAAAGGTCAAGCACACAGACATACATACAACCTTTATTTTCATAGAAGTAGTTGTGGAAATTTGCTCCCTGCTACAAAGATTTTCCTTTTAATAAGTGAATAGAAACACTTTTAAACTTTGTTACTGGTTCTGTGCTTCATTATTAAACATACATCAAAAGAGGAAGGATTACTCAGCAATGCCTATCTTACTTGATGCTCATTGTGCTTATAGTATGGAAGGTAATTCATCCACTGTAGTGAACCCTAGATCCTTTTCTACAAAATTCCAAGTAGCAGCAGGCAAGAATGGCATTAGTCAATAGCATTAAAAATGGATTCCCCCTCCTCTTCTTGTCTAACATAACCTAGTGCTGGTCCTTCTGCCTTGTCCTTTTATGACTGCACAATTAATGTTGTTAGGTTCTTTTTCACAGGTAAAAAATTCTCAGGACGACCAATGTGCACATTATTGACTAATAAGCGTTATGAGTTGCTATATAACTGTGGCATTCAGCTTCTGCACATTGGGAGGCCACTAGCTGCTTTTGAATGCCTAATAGAAGCTGTCCAAGTTTATCACTCGAATCCTCGCCTCTGGTTGAGAATAGCCGAGTGCTGTATTGCTGCTATTAAAGGGGTAAGAATAATCTTTGTGTTCTTTGTTTCAGAATAGTTTACAGACACATCAAATATTCTGTTCTAGAAGTTGGATATATTTAATCTGTCACATACTCAAAATCATCAGCTGTTTGGCTTTCTAGATGGGCAGACCGAAATTTTAGAAAGGGGTAGAACCTTTAAATGTATTTGGAAATTATTATAAAATATGTTGATATACTGTTCTACTTTTTTCTTACTTTTGAAAAGTCCCAAAGTGAGAGTTCTGCTATTTCTCTTTTTCTTCTCCCAGCCTTTCCAGGTGGCTTGCAGTGTCTGCAGTAGCTTTCAATTTCTAGTATTTGGTAGAGGTTCTGTGAGATACACATGATAGAGTTTAGGTTTGGTTTGAACACAATCATAGGTTGTGGTTTAAAGTTACATGCAGGAGCAGTAGTGACAGCTCACACCCTGTCCTCTTCCTAATCTGGCCACGAAGAGAAAATCTGAATTATTTTCACACTTTTACAATAGGAAGTTTCTCATTGTGTCTTAAAAGGGGGTACTGTACTTAGGGAAGCCATATCACAAAGCAGTGTTTGATGCTGGCTTGTTCAAAGGATTGTTTATTCAGAATGGCCTGTTTGCTTCAGTGGTGGGGTGAGGTAATTGAACAAAGAATTCTGATTAGTAGAAGTGAAAGTTTCTTATCCCCTCCTTATGGCCATATAACAGAATGCGAAGGAAACATAAATTTAAGGCTTGCTGCATTACAACAGTAAACTATAATTTAGGGTTGGGTTAAAACAGAACCAAAGAAGAAATGCCTCTTGGTAATGCCTTAATTTGTCATTCTAGAGTTCAGAACAAGAAACAAAGGGCCTTCCAAGTAAAAAGGGCATTGTACAGTCCATTGTTGGCCAAGGCTATCATCGTAAAATAGTATTGGCATCACAGTCTGTGCAGAACACTGTATATAAGTAAGTCCTTTTGTATAATTTTCTATTGGTATTATCAGAAAGAGGAGTCAGCAGGCTGAAAATGTTTAAAAAATGTTCTAAATTATTTTGATTTATTGCTGTTTTTTTAATTGGGCAGGGAGACTGTTGATTTAGAGAAAATAACTATGTTTTCTGCTGCAGTGTTTTGTGAATGAGAAAAGATACTTTGTTTTTCCAGCAGAGGGCTTTTAAAATATTGCATGTATATCAATGTTTTGTCCCTCTTACTTGCACTTAGTATTTGGCTTTGGGCCATTAAGTTGGATTCTGAACTTGAAATCTAGGAGGTTGTTATAGTTTTATAATAGTAATAATAGTCTTTGATCTGCAGAGCTGAAAGGGTATCTTTGGATCATCAAATCCAGCCCCAGTCAAGCAGGCACAGTGAGGAATCAAACTCCAAACCACTGACTCTGCAGCCAGATATCTAAACCACCAAGCTATTCAGCAATTTTGTTATATAAACATTTAACAAACATCTACTAAATATTGTGCTTCCCCCCCCCCCATCGGTACCAGTTGGGAGTTGCAACTATTCACTTCCATGGATCCCTATTCCCCTTTCAGAACCGTAATGACTCATATGAGGGAGTTTCTCCCTTCCTCTGTTTTAGTACAAAGTCAATATATTCTCCCTGTAAATCTGTAAATTTATCCTTACTTAGCACCCCATTCTTAAATTTAATGTTACATGTTAACTTATCATTAATAGCTATATCCCAAACTTTCCTACACCAGTAATTTAACTGGAAATTATATCTTATTTTCCAGTTTCTCAAGGTAGTCTTGTTACTGTTAACAAGTTAGAGATAAATTCTTCAGTTGTCTGATTGCATTCTTTTCAAATATTGATAAAAGCTCTACTTATTTCATTCATTTCCTTAAAAAGCAATTCCGCAGAATGTTGAGACACCCCACACACAAGACACACACACAACACACAATATGGAAAATTATTTTTCTCATCTGCAGCTTCTTGCATCTGCGTCTGCCACAAGTGGAGTGTGAATGCATTCCACCAGTGGTGCCAGAAAATTCTGGTTTCTATATACTAATGTAGTGAAATGTAGGGTAGCCAGTGTGGTGTAGTGTATAGAGTAATAGACAAGGACTTAGGAGACCTGGATATGATTCCTCAGTTTTGTCATGGAAGCTCACTGAGGAATGGAACTAGTAAAATCACTCCTTAAATTCCTCACTTACCTTGAAAACCCTATTAGGGTCACTATAAGTCAGTTTTGACTTGATAGGACATAACAACATAATATAACACAAAGACTAAAATCCAGTAAGTAATTACTGGAGCAGGGCCATTGAATTGGGGATTTTGTGACTACTCCTCCATAAATTCCATTGTTCAGTGGGATTACTCCAGTTGTGATTTACTGCTGTATTTCAACCACTATTAATACTTTGTTTATTCTTTCTCAAGTGATGGTCAGTCTTCAGCTATTCCGGTAGCTAGTATGGAATTTGCAGCAATTTGTCTAAGAAATGCCTTGCTGCTGCTTCCTGAAGACCAACAGGAGCCAAAGCAGGAAAATGGATCAAAGGCTGGGAACCAGTTGGGAGGGAATGACAGCAGTGAGAACAGTGAAGCTTGCAGGTAAAATGGCAAATGTTGGTCATTTCTTTCACTTACCTTTTGCTCCTTGTCATGTAAGGGCAGGGATTCCATGGCTCCTAGCTGTGCTGTGGGAGCTGAACAACGGGAAGGTTGGGAGTAATGAGAAGCGATTTAAACAAATGTATTGTATATAAACAAAATCCAGCATGTATAAAAGCTTTTGAAGTAAGGAACTGTAATTGTATCACTATTTGAAGACATTCACTTATACCTCTTAACATCCCTCTCTTCTAAACTAAATATACTAAGTTTAAAAGTTGTAGCTGTTTCGGCTAATAGGTATCTCACAGTAACCTAGCAGTTACCTTGGACATAGTACCACTTACACAAAGCACATACACATATTGGCTGTACTATTGGAATGAAGATTTTTACTGAACCAACATAGTATGAGGAACATTTGTGTAAATCATAGACATGAATTAGTCAGGGATTCATGACATTGAAGGTCTGATCAGTAGCAGCTTTAGATACTTGGGGCTGAACTTTCTGTCTTTGTTGTTAGTTTCGACTTATATACCATCCCATAGTGCTAGAACACTCTCCAGCTAGTTTACAACATAATTTTGCAAACAACAACCTGCCCCTTCAAGTGAGCTAGGTAATCATTTGACTGATATTGTGAGGAAGGAAGGCTCAGTCAGTCTTGAGCTGGCCAGCTGAATCAATCAGGATCAAACCCAGGTCATGACCAAAAGCTTGACTATAGTACTGCAGTTAACCACTCCACTATGAAGATTTTACCAGGAAGGTTTTATTTGATCCCTATGAGAAATAGGAGCATGCAGGTGACAGGAGTAATGTGGTGCAAGAAGGCCTAGTGCCAGAGGTCAGGGAGAGAGAGAAAGGCCAGCTATTATAATAGCCAGTGAAGAGAGAGGGGAAAAAAGAACAACGAAAGAGGAAAAACAAGAGATCTCTTTTTAAATATTGTAATAATTTATTATTTCAGCTTTTAACTTTATTTCTTTTAATACTGTGAACTGCCTTGGATTATTTAAGATAATGATGACATATAAGTATTTTAAATAAATAATCTCTTCCAGAAGATCCAAAAAATCAAAGGGCAATTTAAGCCCAGGCTGAAAGACTGTCAGGGAGAAGCACACTATCTGACCAGGAAAAACTAAAGAGAGGGTAGAAACAGAATACTGAAGACTTGTACAGAACAGATAAAAGGATGACATTCCTTTGAAGAGGAATCCTATGATAAAGAATTTGCAGTTCTAGAAAATGAAGTAAAAGCCACTCTGAAAGCAATGGGAAGAAATAAGTCACCAGGGGTAGATGGGATACTGATACAGTGGTGCCTCGCATAACGGGCGCCCCGTTTAATGACGAATCTGCTTAGTGACGATGTTTTTGCGATCGCATAACGATGTTTCCTATGGGGGGAAATCGCTTTGCGACGATCGGTAAGCTGTTTTGCCTACTGATTTTTGCATAGCGATGTTTTTTCCCCAGCTGATCAGTGGTTCCAAAATGGCCGCCGGGGAAAACAGGGACGGATTGCTCGCATACCGGGCAGCTAAAATGGCCACCGTATGGAGGATTTTCACTTAAAAGGTAAGTTTTAAGCCCATAGGAATGCATTGAAGGGGTTTCAATGCATTCCTATGGGCTTTTTAATTTCCCACAGTGACGAATCCGTATAGCGACGATTTTTGCTGCACGGATTATCGCCGCTATGCGGGGCACCACTGTAGAACTATTTCAAGCCACAGAGACTGAATTTGTTAAAATCCTAACAAGAATATTCCAATAAATGCAGAGAACAAAACAGTGGCCCACAAACGGGAAACAATCAATATACATCTCAGTCCCCAAAAAGGAGATGCCAAGGAGTGCAGTACTATAAAATCATTGCACTAATTTCCCATGCAAGCAAGGAGTTGCAACAAAGTCTTTTACCTTATATGGAACAAGAAATGTTGATGTTTAAGCTGGATTCCAAAAATGAAAATGCACTTGAGATCATATTGAAAATATCTGTTCGCTGCTGGAGCACACTAAAAAATTCCAGAAGATGATCAGTCTATGCTTTATAAGCTAAAGCAAACCCTTCATGTGGATTATCAGAAACTGGATTGTTTTAAAAGAAATGGGTGTGCCTCAGTATTTGATCATCCTGATGTATAACCTGCGGTGTAGACAAGAAGCTACCATTAGAAAATAATATGGAGAGACAGAATGGTTTCCTCTAGGCAAAGGTGTCAGACAAGGTTGCATTTTATTTACTTACCTGTTCAGTGTGTACACAGTACATATTCTACAGAACGCCTGGGTAGATTCAGATGAAGGAGGGGTGAAAAGTAGCAATGATTTGAAAGAACTTTTAGTGAAAGTGAAAGGAGAAAGTGCAAAAGCAGGATTGTAGTTGAACCTGAAGAAGACAAAAATCATGACTAGAGAAAAATTACACAACTTTATTGTTGACAATTAAGAAACTGAAATATTGGAAAAAAATTATACTTTGAGTCACTCATCAATCTAAATGGAGACTGTGACCAAAAAATCAGGTGAAGAGCAGCAATGAAGGAATTAGAAAATATCATTGGGTATAAGAATGTGTCACTAGAGACCAAGGCCGTGATCATCCAGTACATTCCTGATTACTATGTATGGGTGTGAAAGCTGGACAGTGAAGAAAACTGACAGTTACTAATAATATCTAGGCCCCTAGTTTTGAATTCTTTTCTTGCTTACCAATGCATGCCACATAAGTTGACAGTTGTTTCTATAAAGCATATGTAGAGGACAGTGTGATCATAGGAAGGTTTTTTAGTGTTATAAGAAGTTAGAAATTTCAAGTGGTATGATGATCCTTCATATGCCTTGTTGTTGTTTAGTTGTTAAGTCTTGTCCAGCTCTTTGTAACCCCATGGACCAGAGCATGCCAGGCCCTCCTGTCTTCCACTGCCTCCCGGAATTTGATCAAATCCATGTTGGTAGCTTTGATGACACTGTCCAACCATCTCATCCTCTGTCATCCTCTTCTCTTCTTGCCCTCACACTTTCCCAACATCAAGGTCTTTTCCAGGGAGTCTTCTCATGAGATGGCCAAAGTATTGGAGCCTCAGCTTCAGGATCTGTCCTTCCAGTGAGCATTCAGGGTTCATTTCCTTCAAAATGGATAGGTTTGTTCTCTTTGCAGTCCAGGGGACTCCCAAAAGTCTCCTCCAGCACATAATTCAAAAGCATCAATTCTTCGGCGGTCAGCCTTTATGGTCCAGCTCTCGCCTCTATACATCGCTACTGGAAAAACCATAGCTTTGACTATGCGGACCTTTGTTGCCAAGGTGATGTCTCTGCTTTTTAAGATGCTGTCTAGGTTTGTCATCGCTGTCCTTCCAAAAAAGCAGGCGTCTTTTTTGTGGCTGGTGTTATCATCTACAGTGATCATGGAGCCCAAGAAAGTAAAATCTGTCACTGCCTCCCTATCTTCTCCTTATATTTGCCAGGAGGTGATGGGACCAGTGGCCATGATCTTAGTTTTTTTGATGTTGAGCTTCAGACCATTTTT